TTCGAATCCTGGCCCCAGGAGCTTGAAAAGCATACTGGGCACAGGCATGCATGCCCACAATCCTGATGGGATAGAAACTGAGGGAAAAGGATTGCAGGATGTCCAGGCCCTACTGAGAGATGGGGTCTCTCTCTCTCTCTCTCTCTCTCTCTGACATGTGCATGTGATTTCTGGTGAAAACAATAAATAAATACCCTTTAAAAAGATTTAATGGGACCAGCAGGTGGCGTGGTGGTTAAGGCGCTGGACACTCCCACATGGCTGACCAGGGTTCGAGCATTGGACCTAGTGGCTTGCTTTCTCACTTCCTCTCTCTCTCACTGTCACCCTCTGTCTCCCTGGTCAAATTAAAAAATCAATGAATGAATAAATAAAAAATAAATAATTATTTTTAAAAAGATTTAATAAAATACTTTAATAGGAAGGAAATTTAAAAAGAGTTTCTTGGGGTTAAAATAGCATAACTCCCCTCTTTTTTAAACAGGCTTTACAGTCGTGTTTACCAAGCCATTCAGGAATGAGAGATTATCTGAGTGCCTGTCAACTCTCAGCGTCCCACCACGTCTGCTTCTGCTGACTGTGCAGAAATGCTGTAATTAATGTATCTGACATTGGTAGAGGCAACTAGTCGGCCTAGGTGGCAATGCCCTTGGCTGTGCAGAGAAAGTAAGCAGAAGATAATGCCCCTTCCTTCAAGCAGTCTGAAACTAAGGCTCTCATAAGAAAGTCACACAAAAGACACTAATTTAGTTGAAAGGTTTATTAAGACAATGCCCTGTGACTAGAGGTATTGTGAGAAATCAAAGCAAAGAGAGAATGAAAGAAAGAGAACTGATTTGATTGAAAAGATAAGCATGGTTTGACAACAAGGGAGGAAATCGCTGTAGGAAATGGCAGCTTCCATACTGGGTTGAACCCAGTGTCCCTGCTGTCAAGGAAGACGCAGGCACCACACTGAGGCCTGATGTGGACACTCCATGCTCTTCAGCACTGAGGGCTGTGTCCCTGATGTGTGTGAAAGGAAAGGTCCAAGCATAGGCAGCAGCAGCAGCAAATGTTGGCAAAGTCATCAACAGAAAATGATTACAGGGGTCAGAAAATCCTAAAAGTTGTAATATGCCATTTGAGTAAACCTCAGCAGGGGAAGTTCTGGATTTTGAGGAACCAGCTAACATTGAGAGAGAGAAAGAGAGAGAGAGAGAATGTATTTATAAACAAGAAAATGAGAATGTGAAAATGGAATTACTTGAAGAAATGATTAAGTTCATTTAATCAAAGTGCAAAAATGAACTCCTACAATAGTAAACTCCCAACCAAAATGTGTGTGTGCTTACAGTCTGAGCTCACCAAATCAGTGTGCAGTTGTGTCCCAGGCACCCTCCAAGCAGACCATTGCTCAAAGCTCTTTGCAGAAGCATATTGAGGAAATCGTTGTGTAACTTCAGATGATTGGCACATATGCTAGAGTCAGAACAGGGTTCTTGGAGAATGTCACACGAGCAGAAACCTGGGGACTAAGATCCTGTTTCCAGGTTTACTCTGACTTGCCTTGCAACTTCAGAGATGCTGTGAGCAACTTTTGTATCTGTTTTCTCACTGGCAAAGTGAAGAGGTTAGAAATGACATAAGCTAGAGGGTCACAGTGCAGAGGGCTTTGAGATGACACCCAAAGGCTTATGGAGCAAAGAGAGTTTCAACTCAAGATTCAAGGGGCCTGGGAAGGGGGACAGGGGAGTATCTCCAACCCTGTTCCACCTCTGTTCTGCCACTGAGGTCAAGGCCCTCAGAACATTACTTAGCATTGGTGGGGTCTTTCACCTCAACAAAGGAAGGAGTTGGAGTTTCTTTTCTTTCTTTTTCAGAAATTCTTCCTCCTTATTTTGGAGAACTCTTAAGAGGCTTTAAGCACAATTAGTGCTCAATAAATAGTAATACTGAAGAAATGAAGATAGATCATTTCAACACTCTGAAGTCCAGAAGAACGAGCTGAGGGCGGGAGATGAGGAGGCATATTGCTTTGCCACAAGGGACCAAACAAGGTGAGAAAGAGGGAATGGCAGAAAAAGGCCAAGTCTCAGGTCTCTTCCTACACTGAAACAGAACAAAGACATTCCCAGTTTGGCTCCTTGAACAGAAGCGCAAACTGAAGTGACGTAAATGAAATTGTTAAAAAGCACATTTGTGAGGAAGAGCCAAAAATTCTAAAGCAATGGCAAGTAGTCTAAAGTCTTAGTTAAAAAAAAAAAAGTCACTAAAATATTTGGAACAATCTGCTTCTTCCTCTCTTCTGAAACAAATGTTTTACAAAACTACAATAAAGAAGTGTAGTGTTGGTCACGGTTTGGCTTCTGTTTGCTAACACTAATATTAGCCCATCATTTTTTTCTAAGAGTAAGATCTCATAACTCCAAACAAATCAGATCTCTAAATATACCCTCAGATGGAGTGTCATCAGAAAGCCTTTCCATTTGGGGGACCAGCAGTTAGCGTAATGGCTATGTTGCTGGACTCCCACGTAGTCGACCACAGTTTGAGTTCTGGACCCGTTGGCTTAAACTCACACTGGGCGCATGTGCATGCATGCCCAAGATCCCGAGAGGAGAAAAGAGGAGAAGGGATTGTGGAGTGGCCATTCCCCCCTAGGGGGTGGTTTCTCACTTTCTGCCTCTCTGTTTCTCTCTGACTTTCTGGTGAGCACACGCGCCCTATAGCAAAAAAATAAAACCTCTCCAAAAAAAAAAAAAAAAAAGAAAAAAAGCCTTTCCATTTCCCCCCCATTGTTAAGTATTCCCAGGGTGTTTCCTGCCATAATTTCAACAGATCTCCATGATGGAGTATCCACTATCAAAGAGAAGGGGCAGAGGAGTGAAATAGAGGTCAGTGCACTCAGTTTTAGTTCTTCTTTGTCTTCCCCCATTCTGCATTGCAGACTCCCACCACTTGTCAAAATACCACTTTGATGGTATATTACAGTATATATAATACCTTTCTGCAAAAAAACAAAAAATAAGATCTCCTAGCCAAGTGCTGGCTCAAACAAGACACCTCTTTGTAAAAGCATTTTCCAGTCATTATTTCAACATCAAATGGGGACAGGTGTCCTTCTTCACACTATACACCCTCCATCACTCCCCTCCCCTGGTCTATGAAGCCCTATCCTGCATTTTAGCAGTTGACGTTTCTGCTCATTGGAGCCTAAGCTCTTCGAAAGCAGAAGCCATATTTTCTTCACCCCAAAATCCCAAGGAACCAATGTATTCTAACACAAAGGAGGCATTCAACAAATGTTTGACAAATTAATAAAGTCATCAGAGACATTATTTCTGAATAAATAAGTCTGCAAGCTGCATGGTTTACAAAGAACTTTCACACTAATGGCCATATTTGATCCTAACACCACTCATTAAGTCCCCCCAGGGGAGGGGACCTCAATTACCCCCATGTGCAGATGAGGACACAGTGGCTGAAAGAATCCCATTACTTGACTAATGTCACACAAGGGGCAGAGAAAGGGCTTTGTCAATGTTTCAATCTAAATGATTTATATTATCCCACATTTGGCCTTCTTATCTCAATAGGCTTTGCTGCTTTTGTTCAGAAGATTGTTTGGAATATTAAACTAACTTTTTTGGGTTCCTGGTTCATAAAACATTTTCATCATTAGCCCATACACATCTCTTTACATTCTGTCTAGCTATACTCTTAATTCTTTTTAACTACGTAAACAGTGGTGTAAATGTGCCCTATTATAGGTTTAGAGCTTATTAAATAACTGTCCTGGAATAAAAAGAAACTTCAAGAAAGAAATGTTTTTCCTAAACAGCAGTTCAACATGCTGAAGTGCTATCTGAGCATTCTCAGTATGACAGTAGTTCCATAAAAGAAGTTGCATTTCAGTTACAGTCAGTCTTTTGCCAGGTACTTCATAAATACAGGCACCAATTACATTGGTATGTGTCCAGAATGTAAAGTAAGTGCATACTGGAGGAAAGGAAGAAATGTTTTAATACAAAGGACATTAAATCATAGTATATGTACTAGCAAGAAAAAAAATCACTCCTCTCTCTTCTCACACCTACCATTATCTTTTATATGAAGGAAAAGAACATGAATTACTTTCTTCATTCAAATTCAACTAAGAAGTTAAACAAGGTTCAGCATTAAGACAGGTTGGCAGAATTTCAAAGCCACCCTTTGCTACTTTGATGTTGTTCCTTATTTTGCTTCCGGAAAGGGCAGACTTTCAGTCCGGTAAGTGATATCTTTGACCAAGATCTTAACTCATTGAAAACTTCCAATGAGTGTCTTCAGGTTGACTTATAAATTTCAGACTACAGCCCTTCAAATTAAGTTATTAGGTTGTTGTGGGTGTGTTTGGGTTAAAGTGTTAACATCAGCTAATGGACTCAACCCATTGATGCAAGGTCCATCTGCTTTGGGGTTAAAAGAGGAAGTATAACCAACAGGAGGACAAGAAGTACCTAGACTATAAAGTGAGGTCATCCTGTGTTAGGAAAGAAAAAAGACAGGGGGAAAAAAATGTCAGCTTGAGCTAAGGAAACCAAACTTGGATCCCATGATGCTGAACACAGTAAGTTCTATTCATCATCATCTTGACAGGAACCAAGAAAGCATATGCACAAGGTACGTTTTATCTCACAACTGCAAAGCCAGGCAATAATGCTTCAAATGATTCATGAAGTTTTTTATGTCAGCCTTGGGTATATCTGACTTCATATAAGAGAGCTGTGCTTCTAGGAGTTTGAAAATGGAGCTACAGCTTAGATACCTGAATATTGGTCCATATGCATGATTGAAGAGTGCTGATTATTATTGCTTATACTGGGTTGCTGGAAAAGTCATGACGTATTTTTTTCTATGTTTACCATACAAAAATGCATCATGACTTTTCTGAAAACCCAATAGTTTTGGGGATCCCAAGAATGAGAGAAGCACATGTAACTGAAATTTTATGTTTAAAAGAAAAAGTCAACACCTACACTCCAGTCCAGAGTTGCTCTGGGCTCCTTCGCTGGACCATTTGCCACAGGAAGACTGAGAGGCTGTGCAGGAGCCAGGTGCTGGAGGCCTGCCCGGGAGATGGCTTTCCTGCAGCAAGAAGGAAAACACAAAGAAAAATCAACATCAGAATCTTATACGGAGATCAACATTTCACAAGGGATAGAGACAATGCCTAAGATTGCCTTCCACATCTGAACTTTTACAACTATACTAGAACATACCTCTTAAAAGTGCATGGGGAAGGTAGAATATAGGTCTCAAAACATAGGGCTGTTGGGACCAGCAGTTAGCATAATGGCTATGTCACTGGATTCCCATATAGTTGACTGTGGTTCGCGTCCTGGACCCAGTGGCTTAAAACTCACACCGGGCGTGTGTGCGTGCGTGCCCAAGATCCTGAGAGGAGAATGGAGGAGAAGGGATTGCAGCATGGACACCTCCCCTGGGAGGTGATTTCTGGCTTTCTGTCTCTCTGTCTCTCTCTGTCTGTCTGGCGAGTGCATGCACCCTATGCACAAAAAAAAAAAAAAAAAAAAAAAAAAAGGGGTTGTGGGGGGGTAAAAAAAAAAAAAAAAAAAAAAGATAGGGTTGTTGAGGGGACACTGTGGGGCAATACTGCTTCTAGACCAGACATTAAGATATAAGTCCCTATTTAGGGTAGAGGGCAGGAATGGAAGTCTCTCCATATACAGAAAAAACTTAGAGTCACAACACTCAGACAGCTTTCAAGTCCACAAAGATCAGGAGTGGGGGGAACAGACTTATGAGGTCTTCTACTAAAATCCCATTTCCAAGCAAAGCAGTTTCCAAGCTGGTGACAGTTGTAAGCTCACTCTTACTCCTTTTTCCTCTCAAGAGCACCCTCTGTTATCATCCTTCTTACCTCTTACAGAGGACTACCTGAGCTCAGATTCTAGATGGGAAAAAACTGATTTTCATCTGCCAAGAAATATCTTACCAAGATCCTCAGTTAAAAAAAAAAAAAAGACACTCATTAGATTTTAGGTTTGTAGAGTTGAACATAGGATTCAGGTCATAAAGGAGGGAATGAATCAGAAGAGGTTGAGAAAGCTAGCCTTGACCTTGGTCTTCAAAGATAAAAACAAGAGGAGCTACTTTAGCAACCAAATATGACTGTTGCTGAGCAAAGGAAGAAAAGACAGGTGACAGCACATGAACCAAATAAGACAGCAAGAAAGAGGAAGAAAATAGGCATCACCTAGGGAGATCTTGTAGTATCATCAGGAGTAGGACAAGTTCAATTTATGAACAGCTCCATCAAAAATGTCAGTCAAGGATCTCAAGCTTGAATATGAGTGATGACTTGTAAATTAACTAATGGCTACCTAGAAGAGAGTGGGGCATTTCCTCTAGACTAGTGTCCAAGTGTGGGCTGAGAAATACATGCCTCATAATCAGGCAGATCTCGTGATGCTGCAGTTCTGAGATCTAAATCAGTTGGAGGGTGAGACTCGGGAATCTGTGTTTACACATACTCCTGAGGTATTTCCTTTTGTGTGTTAAAATTATCAAACTTTGCTCTATGGGAGCAAGTATGGGCAGATGGGAAAACAATAACTTACCAAGGTCCATCACAGGGGAGCTCTATAGGAAAACATAGCAATTTAATAATTTAATAATTTCTTTATTTACTTTACCTCCAATGGGGGTCTCTGCATCTTGTCTCATATGACATGAAGAACCTGCCATCTCTGAGACTGGACCTGCTCACACTCTGGATCCCCGATCCTTAGGCTCCTTTACCCATCTCACCATACATAGAAATGAGGCTACAAAAAGTGGATTGGAGGAAAGGAAGTAGTGATGGCCAGATCTATGGGGAATCCCACCATGACTAAGTACTGAAGGACAAGGAATTTGCCCCGGAAAGGGAAACATGGAAGAGCAGAATCTGAAAAAATGTTTGAGTCCTAAAAATGGGTGATCTCTCTGTCCTGTTCTCTGACTTCTGCCAACTCCATTCAGAAATAGAATTTGTAAATTTGAGCAAGATAATGGGTAGCCTCACAATCTGAAGAAATGCAGGCTGAACCCAGAACTATGCAACCATGAATCAACTACCAAGTACCTCTGAGAGCTCAGCAAGTGTCCAGCCTTCTGAATTTTTTTTTCTCTTGGATTTCTACACAGGAAGTCCCAGAAATAGTGGATTGGTCTTTGGTAGTTGGAAGTGATCATATTATGCATGCTGGTAGCCTACTTCCAAAAGCTCCCACTGGGCAGCAGGCAATGTACTTGCTTTACATAATCCCCCAAAGAGTCATTACAAGCATAGAGACCTTTAATGAAGACAGTCTGATGATACAATATTCTCTTTCCTCACTTTCATTGAGACAAATAATTAACAACATAAATTTTGGCCCCTCACTCCAAAGTGTATTGAGCAATAAGAAAGGAACAGTGGAAGGTTCTTGTATGGATATCCTTCATCTCTCAACAATTTTCCTCCCCCTAAGCTGAAACAGTATTTTCTCTGGCTTTGAAGGGCTCTATATGGTGACTGTGATCCACAGTTTTCATCATAAATGAAACATCTTTGGGGTCAGAAGCTACAGGTTTCCTCATAGTTATAACCCAACTAAGTGTTCTTACAAAAAAAAACATAAACAATGCCTAAGGACAAAGTCTTGGAACAGCTAAAGAAACGTATAAATCTTGGATTAATCAAAACAAAACATGAACCCATCTTTTCATGAAACCTTTCAGATAGTTATGATCAGGAGAAAAAAAAATAGAATAAAGGATTGAGGAAATAAAATTCTACTGTCAGGTACCAGTAGAAACCACTGGACAAATGAGTTTAATATATCAGCACTCTCAGACTCTGACTACCAAAGCCTGATTATTCTTCCTAATTAAGGCTGTCAGGAGGAGTAAATTGTCCAAATAATCAATCTGGGTACAAGGGATGTATGAGGAGGTCTTCAAAAAAACCCATGGTGGTCTGTCTCTATAGCTCAGTGGTTAAGGGAGCTGGATCTCACATGACTAAGCATGGTTCAAATCCCATTCATGGCAGTTTATCAAACAGGATGGGTACATGTGTGTGTATGCCCAAAATCTGGCCAGGATGTAGAAATGGAGAAGGGATTGTGGCATGACTATGCCCCACTGGGGAAGGTGTTTTGTGCCTCTCTCACTCTCTCTCTCCCTTATTCCCTCCCTCCAACAATCATATGTGCCCTCTGGTAAAAATAAAATTGAATAAACGAGAAATTCACAGAAGATGTACATTACTTTTAAAAACTATGGAGTTCGAAAATGTATTTATTTGGCAGAGACTGCTTTTACTCACCAGAGAGATAGAGAAAAGGGAAGAGGGAGAAAGCACCCCTAATGGGGTATGCCTCTCCACAATCCTCTCTCTTCCATTTCTTCATCCTTTCAGGATCTGGGGCATACATGCACACACACAGCAAGTTTTCCAAGCTATCAGAGCCAGAATCAAACCACACAGTCACCCTTGTGAGATCCATTTCCCTTAAACACTAGGCCATGAGGCCAGCCCTCAAAGATTTTTACACCAAAATAAGCTCATATTCCAATCCCATGTTTCCACAGACTTTTTGAAGTACCTCCTAAATGTTCACAGAACAGCAATGTGGCTATTGGAGACATATAAGCCTTTATCCCTGAATAAAATTATTGTCATGCTTTTCTAGCCCATATTTTGTTGATCATTTATTTCTTACTATGAATGCAAATTTACGGTTGGTTTTATGTAATGTGAATAGGAGGAAAAGGTATACCTACCACATATATCAACATTAATTAGGGAGAAGAATAAGTGAGAAACAGCAAAGTGACTTCCAGTTTGTAACTGTAAAGGGTTGTCACAAAAGGACAATATATAAGAAAGAAGAATAAAGGGAAACTATTTAGGTGGGATAGGGGAAGTGGGATGGGAAGTAACTTCTGATCACAAATTTCCATTCTTCTAAATAATCACAAGAGAAAAATCTTTTTTTCCAGTATTTCATAAATGTGTACATATGTTCTTCCTTTCATTATATCTTAGGCCTCAAAATTAGTATACATTATCTTCCTATTTGAATTTATCTTGGTTGTAGAAGGTGATATTTAAGTGTCTGGTAGAATTTAGTGTGTGGTTGGAGGGAAAATGATGTGGGGGGGCAGTGGCTTTATGCTGCAATTTTCTCCTATAAAAAATCAATAAGGTTTCAACTTCACCTTCTTTTCTCCTGCTCAGAATCCTCCCCAGCCTACAGTCAGCAAAACCGTGAAATGCCAATGATTCTTTCCATTAATTTCACAGTAACACTTCGTAGGGAATGACTGTAATCACCAAAACATCTTTGAAAAGAACTGTGATATTAACTGTGAAATAAATATGAAAAGAAAATATTCTATAATACAGTTTGAAGAGCACAAAGTTGCAGTTAATGTCAATTATTGGACACAAAAGACCTTTAACATATTTAAAGCATAAAAGCCATCATACATTTTAAATAGCATTCTGTTATTTCCTTCACTTCATTCAATAAGACTATAAACTCCTAAAGGACAGGGTTCAATTCGTCTACTAATCTTATTACATTCTAGCCCAGGGGAAGACCCCGCATATATCCAATAAATGCCTTCTGAGTTAATGAATGAACTTGACCAAGAAGCTAAGCAAAACAGCATGCTGATTAGATCAAGGGTTAAGAAATCTGATTAAGGTGACTTGAATTATATCTCAGGCCTTACATTTCAGTAACAGTCTTTCCTGAGAGGGTCAGAAATCCTTCAAAGTAGCTCTTTAAAAATAAATGCAAATTAGATCAAATCTAGTGTTAAGAAGCCTAACAAACATCAAAAAGGCCTTGCGTGATCAACATTAAAATAGAATCCTATTCTACAACTTTCATAAAGGCCATAGGATAGTGTTAATATTTTTACCATGTACTTATTGAAAGAAACATGCAGCACACACTCTTCATAAACAATTTTAAATATGTATGGGGAGACATGTAAGTAAGTGGTTACTTAACCAGGAAACACTCTAATTCACCATTTTGCAAATTTCTCTCCATTCCTTCTGGTTGCACTCTGACGCC